ATTAGCAAGTGCGCTTTGTAAGAATACTATACTGGCTTTTTTGAATCTTGAAAGTGATAATCTTCGATCAAGAAGAGGAAAATCATTAACAGATACATTTTGTAATAATATCTTTGAATCTTTGATTTAATGATCTTGGGTTGATTGGAGGATATGCACTTTAAAAAAATAACGATAGGTTCAGACGTTTAAAGAGAGAATTTTCGAATCATACAAATCTTGGAATTTGAAACTACCTTATCATTACAAATGTTAGTTATTCTTAAAACATTTTCGGTTGCCTTATGAATGAATTATATGGGTTATTTAGTATAATTCTGTATTATATACGGAATTATACTAAATAACCTGTATATTTTATTTAAAATTTCGAAAACTTTTTTTATGAGGTTGAACTTTATAATTTAATTTCCTAAGTTTTTAAGTATTTGAACAATGATTTCTTAGGTATGACTCAATTTTTTTAATGCTTAAAGATCGGTATAGACATTAAATTTATCAGGTAATTTTTGGAGTACAGCATTTTCATTTAAAGTTTTAAAAATAACAATTATCATCATTGAAATTTATTTTTTTAGCATGCAAGTTTGATTGGTTACAATATTATCATATGATAAATAATCGATGAAACCTGGCACAAATTTTTTTTTAAAAAATTTTAATACAGTATTTATTAATATTATCATCATCATTTAGGGGTATGTCAAATTCTTTTAGAACTTGACAAAAAAAAGATGATGGTTGCAAAAGAAACTGCAATTGAATTCTGCACCAAAAGAATTTCTTTTGCCAATACTAGACCAGAAATTCTTAATAAGATCCATAAATTTCTTTTTCCTTTTCAGAAACTTATAGCAGAGGAAGTACATGCCATCTCAAAAAGACTGGAAGAAGGAAAGTGTGTTCCAAACCTTGAAAGTGTGGACTGCTTATGTAGATTCTTCAATCGGTATATATTACTGTGTCGTCATATTTTTCACGAACAACTTTGTAGTGCTAATATTTTAATGTCAGAAACTTGGAGAAACTTTCAAAAAACATTTGAAGAGAATGGAATGGAAGTATATCAAACCCATGGTATTGTGGAGGTACCTGTAATTCAGAAATCATTAACAGAGAAGACAGCTGAAAAAAGCCAATCAAAAATGAATAAATTGTTTGAACAAACTCGAGACTACTACTACCGATTGTCAGAGAAAAGCATGGACGAGGTGTCACGATTCATTGGAAATTTGGAAAAAATATTAGGGCCAGCAATTAATCATTGAAGTTTTTGTGGCAAGAAAAAAAA